ATTTAATAATAAGGCACTAAGTACTGTTTCATTTTTAATTATAAGTTCATATAAATACTAACAAATATAAAAACTCACATACCCTCCAAAATAGTAACCCTCAACAATCTAAATAACCAAACACACATCCATTTTAGTGCATTTCATACATTATTTAGATACTGCTGAAATAACAGACTTATATTTACTATATATATATATATATATATATCACCACATGAATATATAATTGAAATAATGGTATTGCAAAGAAATTAATAATGATTATTTCAAAGTTACAACTGGTCAATTGATTTTGTTATCCTTACGTTTAAGTTACTCTAAGAAAATATTAATCAGGTTTATGTAGCTTTAGTCGCTGAAATAATTTCTTTGACAATTAAATTTAATAAAAACTTACTGGAATTTTTTATAGTTACAAGAAAAAGTTGAATAATTCCTTTTCTGTTGAGAAGATATGTCGGAAACAGTAACTTTGACCATATCATTGATAATTGTGCGTCTCAAAGTACTAGAAGAATTTTTTTTTTAAAGCATTACTATTTTTCTTTTGTATACTAAATTTAAGAGTAGAATATAAGTTTTTGTCAATGAAAAATAACTGAATATGAACAAATTAAATTAAAATATACTATATATATATATATGTGTGTGTGTGTGTGTATTTAAGTTTATTATATATGTGTTTATTGGTAAAGGTGATTAAGAGATAATAATCATATAATAAAATTAGATTATGAAAGAGTGATGAAAGATGATTTGTTTGGAATCAAAATTAGGGTTTACAAATAGCATTGGGTTTGAGAGTTAGTTGAGGGCATTGAACGTTAGATGAGACGGAAAGTGAACGCGTCCGAGTGTTAGCTGTGTATGTCCCACAATTTTTTTTTTTTTTTGTCTTACTACAATTTTTCAAGTTTTGGTTTCAATTTTTTTAAAACTATCTATGTTTATTTTAAATATTTTAAAACATATTATTTTTCATCCACTAATTTAAATATTGTTTTTACGAACGTAATTAAATAACATTTTAAAACTGGAGAAAATGTATATTCTTTTAAAAATTAAAACTAATTTAACTAAGTTTCAGAAGATTAAAAATATTTTTATCAATAATTTTAATTCATCAATGGTTTGAAAAGTGTGATTTCAGTATCATGCTTATACTTTTGTTGATCCAATTGCATTGAAAATTGTACGAGAAAAGCCAAGGTGCCTCACAGAAATATTTAACGTAGTCTCATTATTTAACTATACTAGTTGTTGAAACTTGTAACATCAACACTTATCTCAAAATTTTCCAAAGAATAGAAATCTTGATAAAAATAAATAGTTAAAGTTATAATACATTATTGGATAAAATTTTTAACGAAACCAATCTTTTGGCTGTTGCAAAATGTTATAAGAGGACGTATTCATTGAATGTAATTGATTGGCAATGACGCAGCGAACCCAAAAGTTTTGATATGAAAGTTTTGTTTTGGCACATTCAACTTGACTCATGAGTTCTAATAATAGACTGGAAGAAAAGCAAAAGGTGAGATACCATTATACGTTGAACATGATTTCAGAAAACTAGTTTATTAGTGTTTGTTTTTTCCTAATTATGTTCAGAAATTAATGCTATACTATGAGTACATAAGCATTGCATGTTTTGTCGCTTGCATGTGACTGCACAAATCAAAGAGGATCCCAATACCCCATTTTCTGCCTCCAATTGCACAACACAACCTACTTTATTCACTTCAAATTACTGTCAAACATGCAAGTGTAAAACTTTCTTTCCATTTTCTCACCACTAATCTTTCTTTTCAAATGGCCCCAACTTTATGGTGTTGTATAAATTCTTAGTGAAAAGGTTGAATATTTTTATTGTAATGCAGAAAGTGAGTCCAAATAAAATTGTGTTAATTTTGTTCTCTCTCTGTACAGTAGTAGGGCGAAGTAAGTACTGGTTTCTAAAAGTATTTACCTTCTCTATGCTGTCTTTTTGCTTTTGTTCCGGTGGAAAGTTCCATTTCGATTTTTTAAAATTAAATTAAAGGAAAAAAATTGTTAGGTTCACCTTCAGTTTAACTGGTACAAAATCCAAACACACGTTAAATAATCTCTTCTTCCGCTTTCGGTTGACGTTTATGTAAGATATCTTATCAATCTTAGGACTAACATATAGTTACGCCTTAGCATGTAGTGACGGTTGATTTTTAGTCTATTTCGAAATAGGGTTAGAGGTGAAAGTGATTGTTTTGGAGGTTGAAGAAGACATTGAGGAGAAGCGTGGATAAGATGACAGCTAAGATTGTTGATAGAGTTAACTGTGTCGAGCCAGTGACATACTATAGCTATTATAAAAGTCTTCCATGATGATTTATCATTAGTTATATGTTTAAATCCGAGTACAGAAACATTCTCGTTTTTGTTTACATCATTTAACAAAACCTTTTACAACTAATATTCAGTTCTCAGAACTTTATAAAATTAAACGTTAGTGTGTACTGGAAAACTTCAACAGGGTTATATGTCCATTGCCAACGCAATGAAACTCGGGCCTAGTAAAAAAGGGAGACAACTTCAACACAGTTATCATAATTAAAATTTCACTAAAATTACACTCATTCAGACCTTAGATGAAAACTATAATTGGAATTTCCAAAACAATAATTTTGTTTGAAAAACATGACTAAAACACGAGAAAATGCAATTATGTTTTGTCCAAAAAAAAAAGGTGGAACAAAAAAGGAACTCTTGATTGTTGGAATAAAATGCAGGGCACGATCTATCTTGCACCACAAAAACTTGAGCAGTTAAGAGCTGGTACCGTGCCCTCTCTTAATGTAGCAGCTGATTAAACTTACTGGCTCGCAAACACTATGACGACCAGCTCGGCCAGCTGCGATGTACCAAGAGGACTAGTATGACAGAATCATTGAGTATTTCTACAAACTGATACCATTTAGATAATATTGATGAAAAACAAAGCTTTAATCCAAACACTATCAGATATATGAAATGCGAATTCCTGTTAACAATAAAAGAGAACTCCTATGATTTGAATCACCATAATATAATCCAAAACAGAGTCAACCAAGGAAACATGAGTGGGAATTGTGAAATCGGGAGGCAAAGAAGAAATTAGTACAACAGCATTAATTCATTCGTATTTCATATTTCAGTTACAACACAGTAATTATGAGCCAATCTTACTGAAGCTTATTGCTAAATCCTAACCAGTCAGCAATTCTATAGGAATTAACTGTTGCTGACAACCATTAAAAAGCATAAAAACCATTGTCATTATTAACTGAATTAAAATAGTGAATTCCCAACCGGGAAGAGGTTATATCAGATTTGAACACCTCATGTATCATTATTTATCCAAATAATACCAATAGAGAAGTCCACCCTCTTTGGTTCTATATCTGCAAAATTTAAAGCATGCAATACATACATGCATGCAAAGAATGAAATACTCATTTGTGTGGTATGATTTTATATCTTATGCAGCAACGGATTGCTTCTCCTCATAATCGTAAAGATTAAGAGCTTGTAGCAACTTAGGCCAAGATTCTGGGATCCCTCCTGGCAAATCAAACTCCAAGAGTTTTCCTCTGCTACGGTAAAATTCTTCCACAGGCTGACTCTGCAAGCATGATAGTTATAAAATTAATACAAATGAATTGGGAAATTTAACGAAATAATAACACAAATACCTTTTCACTGTATATTCGAAGCCTTTCTTTGACCACTTCTTCGGTATCATCTGAACGTGTAACGAGCTTTGACATACAATGTGCAGGAGGAAGAAGTGGAGCCATGACCATTCCTGGGCGCCCATTCTCACCCTTAATGCTGATGGAAGCAACATTAAAATTTCCTCCACATTGATCGCAAATTCTTCTACCAAGGCATTTGGCAAGCAGTGCTTCTTCTTGGATCTTCAGATTGACTACCAAGTCAATGTCAGTCACTCCTTCCAATATTTCCTGTTCACACAGATGTTAAGCACGTTTTTATTGCATTGCTGTTGTTAACAAAGTATGGGGAGGACAGAAAATATAGCCATTGTTTGGCTACTACAAGCACATAAGGTAATCAATATAAAGACGTAATACTCACCGCTTGCTTTATTGTTCGTGGAAACCCATCAAGAATAAATCCCGATTCACCTTTTGCTTCCCCATCAGCCAGCCTCTTCGACAATAGACTCATGACGATTTCATCGGACACCAATTTACCTTGATTAACAATTTCTGATAGCTGTAAAAAGACCAAAAATAGAAAATCAAAAAGTAAAATAGATGGCTGGGTAGATAAAAAATAAATATACTACCCTCCTACAATTTATTTGGTCAAAAACTAGGCTACTTTAGAAGTTAAAGCCGTGTTATCTTCAATTCATACCCAACAGCTTCCAATAAACAGATAAAAAATAGGGTACACCACATGATGCATTGAAATCAAAACCACCAAAGGTATGTATAATTAAAACCTCAAAAAAGAGATCAATAATAGTAAACAAAGCTCATACCTGTATGCTTAAAAACATGGAAAATAAAAATGAGAAGAAACCAAGACTCAAAATTCACGGATTCAGAAGACAAGAAGGCAGACTTTACTTATAACCTAGTAAAATAAATAGCATATATCCAACCCCAACAACAGAATAATCCTTTACCACTGTCAAAGAGGCGAATGCAAGAAACTAACAAAATAAACTATTTAAATTTCATAGATCGCGGCTCAGATTGTCAAAATAAAGTTAACCAACAACAAAAATATGCCACAAGTATTCAGTTTCCAGTCTTGCAAGCTGTAACAATAAGAAGCCCAAAAAAATAATTCAGATCCACTCAAAGCGTGACTCAATTTAATATCCCTGAGTTTGCACTATCATAACCATATGTTTCTCAAAAACAACATCACTGAAAGGGGACGAGCCACAACCTTTGGATCTCAATTCAGCCAACTGAGTGCATCGAATTCCAAAGTTAGTTAATACCAGAATGCACAACCTAGGACCAAAGGGTCACAGAATAACATCACTGTTTTCTCAATGAGCAATGACATCACTACTGTGATTGTAACTAACAAAAGCATAGATTCTTAACATCATTTCACACTAACGCATTAGATTTAGGTTTCACAACGCGTGACATAACACATCAACGTCAGAAATTCAAAGTCAACGAAATCGATAAAAGGGTTTTGAAATCCCCAGAGAGAGGTTGAGACCTGGGAAGAAAGGGGGCCGTTGGAGGCGAGCTCGCTACGGACGAGATCGCCGGTAGCGATATGAGGAACGCCAAGGAGGTTGCAAAGCCGACTGGCGTAGGTGCCTTTTCCAACGCCGGGACACCCCAGGAACACCCACTGGACATTCCTCTCCTTCTGCGGCGGCGCGTGAGACAGGAATCGCGCCGCGCAAGGGAGGTAGGGGGTGCGCTTTACGAGGCGGGTTATGGCCGCCATTGGAAACCCAGCTAGAGGCACAAGAACGCAGCGGTATTCTTTACAACGCTGATTGCGCACTCAGCAATGCATCCTTCTTAAATAAATTTCTTTTCTTCTTTTCTTTCTTTTTCTCCAACTGTTTACCCTATCTTTCTTTTTCTTAAATAACTTATTTTCTTTTTAAATTTTAGGTAAATTGTGTTTGTTCTGTTAGGTTTTTTTTTTACTATGACAAATGTTTATTTATTTATTTCCAAAATTACGAATATGAGATTTTTTTCTGAAAATTTACAAATAGGAACAAGTCTTGATAACTCTTGTACTCATGATTTTGGTGTTAATAATAAAGTCATTAAGATGAACAATAACTTCAACTTTAATTAAATACAAAAAAAAACACATTGAAATCGTGCATAATGCTGACTACTTCCTTATATTTTCCTTATATTTTTAATTTAACTAAAGTGATATTTATCTTTTAACGAATTTGGTATTTTTATTTTTATATTGATAATGGCCTTTGAAATAGAAGTCATATTCATAACATACAACTTCTATTTCTTACATTATTTTTTATTTTTATAGAAGTCCCAGGAGGAACACGAATTCTATTTTGCTCATTTCAATTTTTTTAACTATTTTGCATTTTCTAAAATTTTGATACACCAATATTTTTTAAACTATTTCTAATAATTTGTTTAATTAATTTTTATAATCACATATTTTTTAATTAAGATATTTATTTTAATAATTTATTTTTTTTATGATCTTTTAAATCTTAAAATGTTTTTTCTAATTATTTGATTTAAAAAATTAAATATTTTAAATTTATGTGTAAATATTTGTTTTTTTAGGTAATTTTTAATAACTTGATTTTTTTATATTATATTATTTATTAATTAAAATATTTGTATGATTTTTTTAAGATAGTTATTATAAAAATAATATGTAAATTGTCACTCGATATTTTATTAAGAAATAAATTTGGGAGAAATATTTAGAAGATCCGCGTATTACTGGGATCTAAATGGTTTGTCCTAATTATTTATGTTGCAAAAAATTGACACGTGGATAAAAAGAATTAACCTTTTATCTTTTAATCTTTTGAAAATTATATATTTTACACTAGTAATCATTATATAATCTATCTATTTTTCTTATACTAGTAACTAAATGGATAACTTGTTAAGAAAATACAAAAAAGATTAAAATTGTGAATTTCTTATTAGACAAATGATTTGTGTCCATATGTTTGATTGAGCCACAGAACATGCCACGTTAGTTGTTTCTCTCACTTGAACCAATAAGTTATTTTCACTTTGCTATGCAACGAGGGACAAATAGAAAGAAGGAAAAGTCTTCAATTGTTGTTCTGCTTCCTGAGACCGTGTTCCATGGCATGCTCTCTTTCTGCAACTCTTGTGTCAAATTCTCTTCACCTTAACAGAATCACAAGTCACTGTTGCTTGCATCTTCATCCCACCCTTTCACTGCACCAAAACCTTCCAATATATTCCAAGAATCTTCCCAAACTCTTAACTACTCAAAATCATGCAACGACCACACCCTTTGCTTCTGGCACTGCAGGCAAGTTTTGTCTCAATCTTTACTCTTTTCCCTTTCTCAAGTAAAGAAAAAAGATAAGTTTCTCAAATAGCATCTAAAAAGATCATACATTTTCCCGTTCTGAAGAAGCCATTTGTCAATTTTGATTGCACTGAAACTGCTGAATATATATATATATCATCGACCAATATGAGATTAATTTAATTAGAATGCACTGTCTGTTTGAATATATAGTCCTGTAAATCTTGTAATAATTTCTTTATAGTCTATAACAAGTTCTAATTAGTTGACAGCGTAAATTGTAAAATAGATATGCATGTATCTCACTCAAACTCTTGAAGGTTAACTGTTTCAATGGGTGTATGCGAACAGGAGTAGAGTCTCCCGTGTTGAGTGATGATACCACAAGTTCTCTGGATTCTGTAAAAGTGTTTGATTTGGAAGGAAACGGGATTCCAATTTCTGACTTGTGGAAAGATAGGAAAGCCGTTGTGGCCTTTGCACGCCACTTTGGGTGATTTTTATCATATTTACACAACATAAGTTTTTATATGTGGTAACTCCTGTTTATCAGTTGCTGAACAATAATTTGTGCTCCTTTTTATCTGTAAATTTGCAGGTGCGTGTTGTGCCGCAAAAGAGCTGATTATCTTGCATCCAAGAAGGTAAAGTTTTCTGCTATTTTATTTCTCTTTTCTCCTGTTTTTGTCAATTGTTTTATGTTCCAATAAGCTTCCACCGTAACTGAAGACTCGTTTGATTACTGCCAGAAGTTAGGAGGTTGCTTTTAGAACCGAGTCTTAGAAGTTTATTTTGGTTCTTTGCTTTTGAGTTTATAGTATGCACTAGATATCCATCTTTATTCAAAATGCTGATTCAAACACGATTCATGGTTTTTGTTCCCTTTCATGTGATAAATGTTTGAACTTTGGATAGCTTCCTTTTGGTGTAATCTATATTTTGCTTCACTAGTTCTGACGGAAAATATCCTTACCATGAGATGGAAGGTCAAAGCATGAGTCATTTTTCTAAAATATAGTTTGCAATGGAAAGTTTTGGCTTGAGGAATCACATTTCATGAGAAATGTTTAGTGGTAACATTTAAATATTTCTATTTCACCAAGATTTGCATGCCTAATAACATGGATATGTTCTGCCAACAGGATATAATGGATGCATCTGGTGTGGCACTTGTGTTGATTGGACCTGGGAGCATTGATCAGGTATATCAGAAGAAATTATGGTGAATGTCTGTACTTTTTAATCAGGTCTGTTGGGTTAGATTTTATTTTCTTCTTTGGATGCTGAATTTTCTTGTACTGATCCATCATTTTATTGGCAAGGTTAATTAAGCTTAAGTCCTCTTAGAACATTGTTTTCACAAGCTTCAGTTTATAGTAAAAAAGATTCTTGCTCGATTATCTTCTTCAATTGGAGTCTGGTTTGTATTTTAAGTGGAACCACTACTGTCCAATAGATATAATTCTCATTGCAAGACTCCCAAGTATTAATTTCTTCTTTCTCTTATCATCTGAATGTTCTGGAATGTGTTGCTAATACCATATGTTGGTACAGGCCAAATCCTTTGCAGAGCAATCAAAATTTCAAGGAGGTGCTTTGCAGATAACCTTAGGCTTGTTATAAGTTTCGTAATTTATACATCTCATAGCAGCACTTTGACATGACTCTGTTACCTCTTCTAGAAATCTATGCAGACCCCACACACTCGTCATATGAGGCCTTACAATTTGTTTCTGGAGTTTTAACCACATTTACCCCCAATGTAAGTCACACGCCTCCAGATCTTTTATTAAAAATAATGCATAAATCACCAGTGGCCGAATGGCATATGTTTATCTATTGAGGTTTTTGTTAATTGCACAAAGAATATTCCATGTCAATTTCAGCTGTTACACTGCAGGCAGGTCTTAAGATAATACAGCTATATAGGGAAGGTTATCGACAAGATTGGAAGCTTTCATTTGAAAAGGATACTGTTACCAGAGGAGGCTGGTATGTAAATAAATTATCTTATGCTGTTTTTTCCAGATTTCTAGTCTATATCGCTCTTATGGTGTGTTATGATATACTAGACTCTCCCTTGTTAAATTAATCTTTCTACATCTTCCAAGACATTCTGAAATACAATAGATATATTATGAGATATATTTCCTAGTTTTTCTAACAGATTCTAAATCATTTCTCCATGTTTACCCTTTGGTGCATAGCTGAATTCTCTTAACATTTTCTCTGCTTTTGAGATTGTGGCAGGAAACAAGGAGGAATTATAGTTGCAGGCCCGGGTAAAAATAACATCTCATACCTTCACAAGGTATGATATTCTTTGCTACTTGTTAGCTTAACAGCAAATAGCGTCAATCGACATAATATTCATGGCATATAAACATTTTTCTGATATCATTGTGTGGAATATGTTCATGAGAGCAGGACAAAGAAGCAGGAGATGACCCAGAAATTGAAGATATCTTAAAAGCATGTTGCTCGTGAAGAAAGAAAGAGAAGGAGCCCTTCTTTCTCTGCTTTATGTATCCTGCTTCCTGAAGTGTTAATCATATCAAACATACGGCATCGTACATCATATGTAAACTGCTTCTTATGCTGAGTGGGTTTTCTTGAGTTTCGGTTAAAAAATAACGTTATTACCCGCAATTTATCCAAAGATAACTCAAAGTTTGGAATCTAATACATTGGGCTGTTTAACCGAGGATTCTGTCGATTATTTCAAAATCTTGTATATAATAATTTTCCTTCCATTTCACAAGGTGAAACCTTCGATTCCGTTCTTTCCACTGATGGAATGGAGGAATAGGTTCATTGAGCACTTTATTTCATTTTCCAGTTTGCGATGGAATGTGCTGGAGTTCTAAAACAGACTTCCATAATCACTTTCCAGTTTCCGCTTTTTAAATTAGATTTATTTGTTTGACCTTTATTCATAATTGTGTTAAAAAACGTGGGAGCCGGTGTTAATTTTACACGTTCTAGAACAATATTTCTTTTTCTTTAATTCCTTGAGCTTCTCTTAAACTTGTGATGCTGAATTGAAATATCAGTATTACAACTTAGGATGACAGGTATAACTGGACATAAACATTGAGAATAGCTAATTACACGATTTGATTCGACGGCACTTGGTATCATTCATTATTTTACAGCTATTTTGATTACAGATACATGGGAAGCTATAAGCACATACATTATATACAGAGTTAGGAGGGGGGAAATGGCACATCTTATCTACTATTTGTACAAAATTCCTGTAAGTTGTAATGGAACTATTCAATGCTTACTTCCTGTGCAACCAACTGTATAATGATTTTCTGGTGACCTTCAACCTCACTAGAATTGCAGGTCTCCTGGTCTGAAACCCCGTTAATGTGGGTAATGCATCCTCTCCTGGTAGTGCTCCTATTTTGAGATTTGCAAAGTTGGGGTGCTTTAACTTTGGTGTGTCACTTAGCGCTAATCTGGTTCTGGCAGAAAAAACTTCCAGCCCCAATT